GGCTCAGTTGGTTGGGTGTCTGTCTGCCTTTGGCTCAGGTCATGATCTTGGGGTCCTGGGGGCAAGCCCTGAGTCAGGCTCCCTGCTCAGTGGGGAGTCTGCTTCTTCCTCTCCCTCTGACACTCCCCCCCCACTCATGCTCTCTCTCTCTCTAATAAATAAAATCTTTAAAAAAATAAAGTGAGGGAGAGAAAAATGTACTTCTCAAGGTAAATGGGAGGATAAAATAAAATTATGAAAAGAAAGTGGATGTACACATAGCATACACTGAGTTGGTATTAGCTCCCTTACCCCGTCATCCAGAATGAAGCAGCTTCCATTTCTGATACACCTGCTGTGTGATGTGTCAGACATTTCTCAGAACTCATCTCTATTCCTCACATGGGTCCAAGTGAGGACTGTCTTCCCCACTATATAGATGAGAAAATGGAGTTTTAAGAGAGGTGAGATCCCTTGATCAAAGTCATATAGCTGAGGAGTCAGAAGAGGCAGAATTCAAACGCTGAGGATTGCCCATGGTATCACAGTTGTACAGACCCACACCCTGAGAAGAAAATTTTCCAGGGACACTGTCACACACCCTTGAAGTCTCATATGGCTCAGAATGGACTTGGAACCCTATGGGCCTATTAATGATGCCTACCCTCACATTGGTGAGACTTCAAACCCCAGCCCTCCTGTGCCCTTTGTATTTAGTACCAGCACTTGTTCTGAAGTCCCACACAGATACCCAGCCTCATACTTCCCTCACCCTCAAACTTGTGTCCTGAACCATTGCCTGATGACTTATCCTTCAGCTCATGATCACACCTGAGAACTGGCATCTGGTTATCCTGTCAGCTGTGCCTTGCCCTGAGGGATCCTGGACACTGTGACCCTGGAACCTCCTGACTCAGCCCCTTGGGTTCTGAAGGCCCATTGTTTCTGACTTCCTGGATTCCCTTCCCTCTTCTTTCAAGAACAGCTTCCCACTTCTTCTGGGAAGCTGCTCTTTCATTTCGCATAGTTCTGGTGAAAATGTCAATCATAGTTCTCCAATCCCTCCCATCTGCCCACCCAACCACTGGGATTGATGCATGACCCAGGCCAAGCCAACAAGAGCATTGCCTCCTCCCTGACAACAAAGATTGATCCAAGGGGTGGGTCAGTTCAAACTGAACCAATCAGAGTTCTTCCCTGGGAGTAATATCAAGATGCCAGGAGAATGGAGATCTTTGTTTCTGCTTTGTTTGCTTAATTGGATGTGTCAGTAGCTGCTATGTTCCCTCCATCTGATAAAGCCTGTCTTCAGAGGCTAGAATGAGATCCACAGAAGAAGGAAAGAGACAAGCAGAATGAGAAACAACTCACACACACCAAAAAGAAAATTAAAGGCAGAGAGAAGTAGGCAGAGTGACAGAAAGTGTCACACAGAGAGAGAGAAAGAGCTAGAGGGAGAACACAAGCAGGGGGAATGGGAGAGGGAGAAGCAGGCTTCCCGCGGAGCAGCGAGCCCGATGCGGGGCTCAATCCCAGGACCCTGGGATCATGACCTGAGCCGAAGGCAGACACTTAACCATCTGAGCCACCCAGGCGCCCTTTTTTTTTAAATAGTAAAAGGATGGGATGCCTGGGTAGCTCAGTTGGTTAAGTGTCCGACTCTTGATCTCAGGGTCATGAGTTCAAGCCCCATGTTGAGCTCCACACTGGGCATGGAGCCTATAAAAAATAATAGTAAAAAAAAAGAGAGACAGGAGCTCATTTTAGCATTTCATTTAGCCCAATACATCCAAAATTGCAATGTGAAATCAAAATAAGAACATTTTAAAGATAGTTTGTCTTCTTATTTTGTGCAAAGTAAATGTTTGGAATCCGATGTGTCTTCCATTCACAGCACATGTCAGTTGGAACTTGTCACATTCCACAAGTTAGGAGCCACCGTGGTGAGCAGCTACTGCATTGCACAGCCCAGCTCTGCCCACAGATCTCGTGCTCCAGGCATGAAGCTTGCTCTCTCACCTCTGGGTCTCATCCATGCTATTCCCCCTCTCCAAATGCTCTTCTCACCTTCTCCTGACCACAACTTGTCCTTCAAGTCTTTGCTTTGGCATCATCTCTTTCTGGAAGCCTTCCCTTGAACACCACCCAACTTCCACCTCCTGCAGTTGGGTTAGTCACTCTCTCACTCAAGTTCCCACAGCAGGTGCATCCCTCAAGTCATCTTGGACCGTGAGCATCTGGATCCAAGTCCGCCTCCCCCACTGGATCGTGAGCTCCTTGAGGGCAGGCGCTGAGGCTGACTCACCCCCTTGTGTCCCAAGTGCCTTCACAAGACCTGGCCCAGAGGAAGCCTTAGGAAATTTGACCAAATGACTAAAATGTCTTCATTACGCCGCCCACTCCCATTTTACAAAAAAGAAAACTGAGACTCAGAGAAGGAAGTTAATTGCTCAACATCCAACACCCAGGAAATGGTGGGACCTTTTGGATTGGAACTCAACTTCCAGTGTGGAGGTGGACAAGGCCTGTCTTTTGGAGCTCCCATGGGGTATCCCTTAGCACAACAGGGGATGGGAGGGCTTGGGAGGAGTTGTTGAGAGCCTCGTGGGAATGGAGGGAGGTGATAGGTGGTGAGGAACTCCACATCTAAGAACCTCTAAGAGAGAGAATAAAGTCCCCAACTGCAGGCGTTTGCCAGTGACCTTTATGGTTTTGTCCTTGCCACGTGCCACACATTATTATTTACAGGGTATTTTCCCCCAAATTGACAGGCTCCACAAAAGTTTTCAATAAAGAAAATGTGTTATAAGAAAATTTTGTGAGAGTGTAAGCAGGAAAAAGTACCAGAAATCACAGACAATAAGAACCAATACTCACTGAAAGCTTATTCTGTGTCAGGCAATGTTCTAGCATTCTCCGAATATTAAATTTATTTAACCTTCATAGCAGACCTGGGAAATAGGTGTTATTCCTGTCACTTCAAGGATGAAGGAAAGGGGATTAGGAAGTAATGTGCAAGCAGCTGACAGGTGCCCAAACTGGGGCTGGAATCCAAGAAGGCCTAGTTCTGGAGTCAGTGCCTTTGACTACTATGTTGTACTGTCTGCCCAAAGAGAAAGGAAGTTATTTTTAAAAATCCAACAAAAGTGCTATCCCAAGTCATTACAAACCAACCCACCTCCAGACTTGTAGGAAAGGCCAGGTGTCTCCAGGCTGATTTAGTACAATTGCAACGTTTCATTACTTTTTCAAACTTTAGATGAATATTGATTTGAGGTTGCTTGCTGGGGGGAGGGGAAGTTGATGGATCTTCATGGAGACTGGTGGCCAAAAACCCTTGACATTCCTTAGACTTGACACTGATCTAGAGGCAGGAAGGGTCAGGGGTCTGGACACCTGAGTCTGAGGGGGGAGGTGCTGGAGGCAGGGACATTAGGTCTGAGGGAGGAGGGCCTGGGGGTCTAGACTCCTGTGTTTTGTGCCAGGAAGGGGCTTTGTCTCCTGTGTGTAGGGAGTTGGCGGCTGCAGGATTTCTGCAATATGGGGAGGGGTGGAGGAGTGGGGGGCTAGGAGAGACTTGCTAGGGAGATGAGATGAGGAGAGGAAGGATCTGGAGGACACTGGTTGAGAATTCTGGGGGAGAAACTAGAAAGACAGGCAAGAGGGTGAGCTCTGGGCTGGAGAGGGAGCAGCGTCTGAGGTGTGACTGCCCAGGGAACCTTTGATGGCAGGAGGCCAAGAGCATAGCCAGGCTTTGAGTCACAGGGGACTCCTCCCTCCTCCCTTCCAGAGGTCCCTTCCCTTCCTTCTTTGAGAATAGGAGCCCACCAACCCAGATTCCCACCCCCCCTCTTCCTCTAGCACCCAAGATGCTGTTTTCTCACTCTGGGTGGGCTCCTGTGGGACCCTGGTGTCCCATCCACCCGCCATCTCTATCCTTCCTGAAAACACCTTTCTCTCCTGTTTTTGCCACCTGTGAAATACTCAGGAGCACTTTCATATCCCTTTCCACCCCAATGAAACAGGCTTATTCTCTCCTCCCTCCGCCCTTCCTTCTTCCCTGTCCAACCTTCTCTTCCTCTCTACCCATTTTATAGATGAAGAAAACTGAAATCTGGGGAATGGATAGAAACAGGTCACTAAGCAGGAGGCAGGGCGAGGGCTCAAAATCGGATGTCTCGCCCTCTCTTAAGGGTTCCTCCTCCCCAGCCTCAGATCTTCAGAGCTTTTCCACCTTCGTTTTCAAGTTACAAAAGTGCACGTCTACAGAAACATAAATGGAAGGAAGGAGGCACCCCACAACTACCACTGCATGAGTTAGTATGTCTTTTCAGATTTTATTCTGTAAACATTTCATTTTACACGGCTAGATTCACACACCCGTTTGTATCTTTCTTTTTTCTTGTTCCATCATATAACACAAACATTCTTGCATAACACTAACAATTCTGCAAAGTTATTATCCTTAACAGCTTCCTAATATCCCTGTCCCAAACAGGCCTATTGTTTACATAAACAATCCACTAATTTGGGACATGTTCAGTGTTTCCACTGTTTTGCTATGATAAATAATGTTGTGATGAATTAAAACCTTGCTCTGCACTTTGGATTTTTTATTTATTTATTTATTTATTTATTTATTTATTTATTTATTATTTATGTATTTATTTATTTTTTGAGTAGTATCTTCCTCAACTAGAATCACAGGGTCAACGACCTGGTAAATAAGGGTCTCAATCCACCATGCCAAACTGTCTTCCATAAAAATGGCATGATTTACAATTCCACAGGTTGAGAGTGCTGGTCTCACTGTGTCTTTACCAGCACTGAGGTTTTTGTGTTTCATGCTGGTTTTAGGTCTTTGCTAACTTGATTGGTTTACATATGTGGTGTATTGTTGAGGTTTTAATACGTCTTTGAGGAAAGGTAAAGTCAAATATGACTACAGTTCATCACGTCCTTATTTCTCTGAATTTCTTGTTGAGGGCGTTATGGATGGAGAGATGGGAAGTATGCAGAGATTAGCAATGCTTTCTCATGGTCTCATTTATCCATTTGACATACTTGCAGACTTGGGTGTAGACACCTGGGTCATTGGGTTGGCCACAAGGGAAAGTTCCCCAGGACACAAGGCCTTGCAGGGTACCTTTGCACATCAGTGGTCCCCCTGAGTCGCCCTGGAGAAGAAAGAGCAGACAAGCTTCCGTTTCCGAGCAACCACCACTCACTGGACGTGTCCACGTCTGCAATTATCAAGTCTTTGTCCTGCCACACCGAAGACTTCTACCCTGGCCAATGGGAGAGACTCATGGTCTCTGGGCACCAATAGGAGAACAGGAGTTAGTGTTGTCATGGCGAGAACAAACCAGTTCTCTGAAGACATTGGCTTGAGCCCCGGCCAATGGGACCAATCACTGGGAAGGGGGTGGAGCTTCCAGGGGATCAGAGCCCCATTTACTTTCCACCTTTAGGGACTCTGCGCCAAGCCAGAGGGAGGAGCATTATCTCCAGAGCATGTCCCCCTTGAGCATGAAAGGGGGACAGGGTGGTCCTGGAAAGCAGGGGCAGGACAGGTGACATAATTCAAAAACCACAGTGCAAAATGAATATGCGGCCCCTTTTTTCAAAAATTATTAAGAGATTCAAGACAGCAACAGAAGTGTATTAAATCACTTGTGTGGGACTCTCTGAGTATGAAGCCCTGTGCCACTGCACAGCTTGCATATTCATGAAGCCAGCCCTCACTAGGGAGAAAGGGGACCCCTGCCGCCCATTCTCTAGGACATACATCCCTGTCCATCCCCCCCATCTCTAACACACACCACCCCACCTCCCCTGAAAGCTGAGGGTGCAGATGTGAGCAAAGAGAGTGGGGTACTGAAAGAAGGGTGGAGAGGAGAAGGCAGAAGGAGGAGGGGGATGGAGAAGCAGAAATGTAGGCGGTGGGGAAGGAGCAGAGATGGACACAGGTGGAGACGGGATCAGAGAGAGAGAGAGAGAGAGAGAGATCCCACACAGAGGAAGACAATGTCATTCAGATACAGAGAGGAGGTTAAAAGGATGAGGAAGGGCGGGGCGCCTGGGTGGCTCAGTCGGTTAAGCGACTGCCTTCGGCTCGGGTCATGATCCCAGGGTCCTGGGATGGAGCCCCGCATCGGGCTCCCTGCTCGGCGGGAAGCCTGCTTCTCCCTCTCCCGCTCCCCCTGCTTGTGTTCCTGCTCTCGCTGTGACTCTCT